AAAAAAAAAAAAAAAAAAAAAAAAAAAAAAAAAAGGAGAGGGAGCTTTGCCCTCAGAGAAGAGTTTAAGAGTTTGGTTCCACGCTGGAGGTCTGGAGCTGTTCCATGGCTTTGCCTGCAGGCAGGTTGGCCTGCTGCTTTCCTAGAGGATCTGCCTGGCTTTCTCCTTGAGGAGCTGTTAAGCAGCTCTGATGGACAGAAGAGACAGGAAAAAGCATCGCCCTGATAAAAGGGGGGCTTGGTAACAACTTGAAAGAGACTTCTGTTAAAAAGCAGAGCAACAGAAACAAACAAATCAATGAAGCTGAACTAAAGAAGTTCCAGGAGTGAAGCAAAGCCCCCGGGTAGGGACAGTTGGCTCCGAGAAGGTGTGAAGAGCAAATCTCTTTTCTTGTGAAGTTTCTCTCATTCATGTTCACAAAAGCCTGTGAATTTGAGGGAAGAGTAAGAGTGGTTCTAGGCCAGAAGAATCCATTCTAAGGGCTTTGAAAAGGCTGGCAAGTAAAAAAGGTTCCACGGAAGAAGAGAGCAGAGTTTGTTGATTTTTAAGTAATGTTCATAAAGATAAAACTTTTTAGGAAACCAAATGATGCATTGCTGAGAGAGCAGCATGACACTAACTACACATCCATCACTGCTGAGGAGAGTTCCCTTCTCCTTTATTCCTTTTCCACTTAATCCCTGGCTTCACATGAGACCGTTCCACTGACAGCACAAGCAAGCAAGAATTCACATGCAGCAAGAAGCTAATGTACATCCTGAGCACCAGCGAGCTAATCAAGGGCTTTTTAGACCACAAATTCCCCAGCAACAACCCATTAAAATTTCCTCACCCTACCATGTTAGGGATATGGTAGAAATTCATGCCTATGAAATATAGATATATGTATCAAACATGCTATTAAAGGGGGGAACAGGGTTTAATCCTAGAATAACGAAACTGGGGCTGGCTGACAAGGGTGGAATTCGGCATTAACATAGGAAAGAAACTCGGCTGCACAGGAGATGGTCCTTCATGGTGGCATGTACCAGAGGATGCCCAGTGATGATGGCCCATAAAGACAGACATTTAAGATAACCAGGGCCATCAACACCTTTCACCTGAATACAGAATTCCAGGAATCCAAGGAGGAACATCAATTTCTTCCCGGAGGAGGTTTTGTGTAGCTTTGAGTGAAGAAAGAAATCAACATGAATATGATGAACTTTGAAAGGAGACAAAGAGACTCTGCCGCTGGCAAGAAAAACATTATAAGAACTGTCCCTGAGAAGCAGAAGTGTGGACGAAGGTGGGTTCAGTGCCATAGAGGTTGGATCTGCGTCCACCCAGCCTGTATCCCAGGGTCTACGCTGTCATTTTTTATTGGTGGCTGTTGGGATCGTAATAAGGTCGTGAATAAATTTTTATTTTTCATTACAATAGGGTCAATTTTTATTTTTACTTATAACACTGGATGTGTCCTAAAATAGCAGCTGAGACTTGAGCTGGTTTTCATGGAAGCTGTTAGACCAAAACCTTCAGCACAAAATGGGCCTTTGACTCAAAAACTGCTGGTACATAACGGAGAACAGGATGCTCTTGCACATGACGCAGTGAGGTATTTTTCTGACTATAAGCAGCTAATTGTCTTGAAGAAATATATCCCTGCCTTCTACTTGAGGAAAAAATTATTGGAAGAGCTGTTATAATTCATCAGCCCATTTTGGAATTAATTCCTGCCTGAGAATTTCTGTGCCTGATTTCAGCTGCAATTAAACACAGTATAGCACGTGATGCCATAACCAAAAACAACCCCCATGTTGCGCAGACCTAAAGAAAGGAGCTGGAATCACATCTTGAGTTTCTGGTTTTTATGTGGATTGGCTGTACAGAAAGTCTTAAACGAAATAATATCCTTAGGTAGAATCCCAGAATGGTTTGGACTGAAAAGCACCTTAAAGCATATACCATTCTACTTCCTGCAACATGGGCAGGGACACCTTCCACTATCCCAGCTTGCTCCAATCCCTGTCCAGTCAGGCCACGGACACATCCAGGGGTGCGGCAGCCACAGCTTCTCTGGGCAATCTGTGCCAGGACCTCACCACCCTCACAGGGAAGGATTTCTTCCCAATATCTCCTCTAATCCTTTCCTCTGGCAGCTTAAAACCACTGCCCTTGTGCCAACACCTCAGGCTCCTGTAAAGAGTCTCCCTCAAGAGAGAGATAAGATACATCCCTCTCAATTACTTCACGTCGACATGCAGGTGTGTGACTGCCACAGCCTCTCCCAGCCAGCCACTGACCTGAGATAACGGCTTCTTCTTCTCTCCACAGTGGATGCCTCCAATGAAAACCATGCTGGGCATGACAGGCATGGGATACTCAAAGACAAAGTCGATTCTCCTCAGCCAGACGGATCCATGACTTAAAATCTCTGTCATTGTCATAGGTTTTTGGAGGAAGTCTGAGGCCAGCTCCTCAAATGGAGAATAGACAACATTGCAGATGAAGGACTCGGAAAGGGCAATCAGGAAGTTCTTCACCCTCTCGGAGAAGGTCATGTGGTCGGTGTTTTCTGAGAACATGCGTGGGACGTAGGATGGCGGGTCTGGGCCCTGAGCCGCGCGAACCTCCAAGGCACACGGAACCATCCGTAGGAAGAAAACACTGGGGATGGAGAAGTGCAGGGCAATGATCTGCCCACAAGGTGTCACGGGATCCGTGAGCACGGCATCAAAGTGACTGTCTCCAATGTACTTCAGCAGCTCTTGGTTGTACAGCAAGGACTTGCACGAAGCGTGAAAGATGGCCCCGCTCTTCCGATAATCTTCCAAAAGCTTCCAGAATCGCACCAGGAAAGGCTCTTGGCTGAAAACTCTTGCACTGAAGGAGCGTATATGTTCTTCCATGTACTCCTTCATCAATGGCACAGGGTAGGATTTCAGTTTGTAGACATCCGAGGAGTCAATCAGGATTGTGTTATCTGGTGCAATGACCATGATTTCGTGCCCTCTCTTGCTCAGCTCGATCAGCACTTTTTTCATGCTGAGCCAGTGGCTGCCATCCATGGGGATCACCAGCAGCCTCCCAGCGGCAGCCGGGCTCAGGAGGCACAGGAAGGGCAGAAGCAGTGCCACCAGCATGGTGTGGGCTGTGCAGAGTGGAAGCCCAGCACCAGAGAGGCCAGGAGTGCTTTGCCAGCTTTTGTAGCTCTGCCCCACCTCTGCCCTTTTGACTCTCCTCCCATTTTGGGTCATCAAAACTTTGCACCAAGGTCACAGAAAGGAATAAATGATTAGGAAACATTCAGGGCAGGTTTGGACTTCAAAGGTGGCTTTGTGTGAGTCAAGAAAAGTGTGTCACCTTCACAGAGGCCAAGCTGAGGTTGTTGGCTCAATGCCACCTTCTTCCCTCAGCAGGACCCTGGCATGGGCAGAAACACTGCTGAGCCCACATGGGAGGAGTGTGCCTATCAAGAGAGCATGGAAAGGACTCTTTTCCATTGCTGACACTGAAGGCTGACAGAGTCGTCACAGACTGAGGTAATTTAGCATTTTTAAAATCACTTTCTTCCCTAAAGAAACTGATGCCAGTAGTAGAGTGAACCATAACTTACAGTAAAGATTAGTATGAAGAATACACCTAACCATACACGGGGTTTGTGTTTTGCTTTATTTTTTTCAATAACCAAAACCAGCTATCACCACTGAGAAAAACTGAATTTCCTTAACGCAAACTTGCATTAGGTTGTTGGCTCAATGCCACCTTCTTCTCTCAGCAGGACCCTGGCGTTGCGGCACTTCTTGCCACCAACCCACCACAACCAAGGACTGATGGCAAAATGCAGGGAAAATCCATGAAAAAAATGCACCCACAGAGTGGGTGGGCAGAAACACTGCTGAGCCCACATGGGAGGAGTGTGCCTATCAAGAGAGCATGGAAAGACTTTTTTCCATTGCTGACACTGAAGGCTGACAGAGTCGTCACAGACTGAGGTAGTTTAGCATTTTTAAAATCACTTTCTTCCCTAAAGAAACTGATGCCAGTAGTAGAGTGAAACATAACTCAGAGTAAAGATTAATATGAGACATCTGTGTAACAGTACCTGGGGTTTGGGTTTTGCTTGATTTTTCAATAGCCAAAACCAGCTATCACCCCTGAGAAAAATTGAATTTCCTTAACGCAAACTTGCATTTTTTTGGAAGATAGGCAGCCAGTAGAAAATCTTTCCCCATCTCTCCATATCAATTTCAGCTAAACCCCATATCTTATCAGGTACAAAAGAAGTTGCAAAAGAGCATTTCACCCTTGTACCCTAGATAACAAAGACCAACAACACCTCTCTAGTTCGCAAAGTCATTAATTGTTCAAGGCTAATGAGGGGTCAGTTCATGACCAATGTTGGGTCAGTTCATGACCTCAACCCTGTGTCCAAGTCCTTCTTGGTTATAAATTGCTGGGGGTTTAATGCTGACGATAAATGCTCATTAAAGCCTATAAGCAGGTGAATACGGGAAACAATTTGCTTCTCCAGGGCATTCTGGGCTTTAAAATCTTGCTGGATTTTTCCCCATGCAGTTTCTGCAGGTTCCTTCCCAAACCTGGTGGGATATCTTGGATTTTGCTGAGAACCTGCCCTCCTAAAGGAGCAGCAGCTCCATCACTCACGCTGATCCCATCTTGGTAGGTTACAGGATAGGTTAACTTAATGGGAATTTTCAAAAACTTCAGAGGAAGGAGATGCACAGAAGACAGGCCATAACCTCAGACAAGGCTGCCAAATGAACACAGGAAGGTTGCTACACAAAAGCCCAAATGGAAATCTACGGGAGATATCCATACCCAGGAAGGCTTAAAACCTAATTCAATAATGTAGAAGAGAAGGGGAAGATGGAACTGGAAGAGGATTTCTTTTGGGGCTTAGGTATTGACACCTTGACAATAAAGGCAGATGGAAAGGAACCAATCCTGTGGATGGCTGTGGTAGAAAATAGGCAAACCCTTCAGTCCTATCACCTTCACTGTGGCTGAAAGGAGAGAGGATAAATGGACAGGGCACGAGACAGCTGGGAGAGGAGGACAGCAAAGTTCTTCAGTTCAACAAAGGCCACTATCAGTTGCGCAAAAGCTACATGTCACTTAAATGGTCCAAATTAAGTCTGATAAGGCTTTAGGTTTGGAAGGATGTGATATAATCTGAATGCTGGGTGTTAGGAAACAACATTTCTGCATCACGCAGGATTTCAATCTTTAAACACCAAGCTGTTGTCAGCCAGGGTTTGATGGAAAGATGTGAGCGACATCCCTTGCCCAGGGTGGCAGAGGGTTGGAATGAGATAATCTTTAAGGTCCCTTGCAACCCAAACCATTCTGCCATTCTATGATACATTTGTACTTTGCCTTTTCAGTATCAAAGCAGAAGAAAATTTTGTACCTGAGACAGTTTTTTCTTCTGAACACAGTTAATCCCTCCGATAAAAGCCATGTTTGGCATCACGGGTCTCGGGAACTCAAACACAAAATCGTATCTCATCAGCCAGAAGGATGCACGGCTCAGGAGTTCTGTCACTGTCACTTTCCTTTTGAAAACCTCATATGCTAGCTCTTCAAAGTTATCATAGATAGGCTTACAGTAGAAGAGCTCCAGCAGGTCGACCAGCATGTTCTTCAGCCGTTGGGAAAACGTCATGCTGTCTGAATTATCCAAGAATAACCGGGGGACATAGGAAGGAGGGCTTGGACACTGGGTAGCAGCAGAATCCATTCCACAGGGAAAGCCCCGCAGGAAGTAGACGGAAGGAAGGGAAAGATACTCAGCCACCAGGGGCCCACACATCAGGATGGGATCTGTGAGAAGCACGTGGAATTTGCTCTCCTTCAAGTACCGCATCAGCTCCTCGTTCTGCAGAAGACTCTTACAGTTGGTGAAGAAGACCGAGGAGATTTCTATCGTGCTTTGGTACGAGGTCAGAACAACATTCACAACAGACTGCTCAATAAAATGGGCATTAACGAAGGCCTTGAGCATTTCACCCAAGTATTCCCCTGTGTAAGGTACTCGATAGGCTTGGACTGTGTAATTCCGAGGCTCCTCTGACTTCATGTACAGGCTGGTTGAGGGTACAAGCACAACCACCTCGTGTCCCTTTTGCTGCAGTTTCTCCACTACCGGGCGCATGCTGAGCCAGTGACTTCCATCCTGAGGTACCACCAGGATCTTTCCACCTTCAGCCAGCATCAAAGACAGCGTCAGGAGGAGAAGTATCCAGGTACCTCGGTAAAAAAGAGCCATTTCTGAGGGAGTGAACCAGAGGGTTCTGCTCCAGAGGGATCCACGCAGTCCTTTATATGATGGTCCATGCAGACTAAGCAGGGAATTTATTGGCTACAGAAATCAATATTTAACTTCCCAACATGGTTGTGATTAGCCCGTGATTTTGCCTGTGTTTGTGGAAGGGAAGGGAAGCCGTGTCCTTAGAAAAAACTTTTGTACTTTCTGTTAATGTTTAAGCTTCAAAGTCTGTCAGCACTAGGACACTGTCAGCACTAAGTCTGTGACAGCAAGAGCAGGGATGTCATGTTGCAACAATAATCCCGGTTAAAACCATTGACCGGGTAAATACACTGCGATAAAATAATAAAAATACACCCAGCAGAATGGATGCAACTCTGTTCCTGAGGACACGAGGCTGATGTGAAATTCCCCTGGAAGCAGCCAAACCTGCACCTCTTACAAAGATGCCCTGGCCACTAGGATGTACCAGGCAATCCCAAATCTGAGGAGAACAATCCCGATTGGCTTTTTTCCTCCTGGCACTACACCGAAATGTGAACTAATGGATGGGCTCAGGGCAAACAAAGGGAAAGGAGGCCAGCACAGGGACACAAAGAAGGCGTTTTGGTCTTTGGTTGCTGTCTTGAAAACCCTTGTCACGTATTGTGAGCGAGACTAAATCTAGGAGAAGGTGTGACACCTCCCACTAATGCCACTGCTGGAATGTTTTGTCTTTGTGCAAGCAAAAGCAATGCCAGAGCAAAGCCTTTTGGATGGTGCTGAGGAAGGAGTCCTTGTGATATGAAAAGCTAGCACCAGCACAACGTTTTCCTGTTCTTTTTATAAATGGTGCTGGGACTCCCAGCATCCTCAGTCGGGAGAAACAATGCCTTACAGCCTGAGGCAAAGGCATTTGTCTCATGACACCCAAAGGGTGCTGGGACTGCCCTGAGGAGCTCCACTCTGTTGCATTGGACATGGAGGAACCACCCTTAGACCTGGAAAACCAATTTCTGGAGAGGCCCAGCGCAGGAGAGGTGGGAGACGGCACAGACTGAAAGCAGGACACTGAACGGATTCACAAATAATTGTCATTAAAGGCAGGAAATCTGGAAGCAAAGAGTTCATTGCAACTACTGTGACAAGAGCTGACCAATTTAACATGGAAGTTGCTGCTCGGTGTGTTTTCTAGTCTGGACTCGATAGGATTTTCAATGGCAACACCTGTTGTCTGAAAACAGCCAGTGCAAGTTCACTTTCCCTGACTATAACAGAAAAAGTCTCCTGACAGGATGGCCACACTTTCTTATGGACTCCACAGGCTCCCTACTTTTTGTACCAGACCATCAGAGCAAAAACTGTGGGAAAAGTGAGGCAGCAAGAGGAAGGGCAGGAGAAAATAGAGATAAAGGCAGGACAAAGAAAGAAAGGATGAGGTTCATAGATCAGCACAGGATCATCTGAGGTCAGATTTGAGGTGAGGAATTATTACTGAGAAAATTAACAGGCAGGCTCATTTTTCAGATAAGCAACAGATAAGTTTGTTTGTTTTTCCTGAAGAGTAGCAAAGGGCACCTGGGCCCCTCTCAGCTCTGAAGGGTGTGGTGCTTGTTTCCAGCTCCTCTTTTATGTGCAAACAAGGAGCTGAGGAACTGAGGATTCCAGATATGAGAGAGCCAGGTGCCTGCTTGGAGGAAAGCCTTCCCCACTGCAAGAGCAAAGGGTATCAAGGCTTGGGTGAGCCAGGACTGCAGGTTTGTTTTCCTCTCAGAAGTGATGAAGCTTGTTTGGGTTATTCCAGGGAGTCTCTTGGAGCTGGCGGGGAGTGATGGAGCAGCTCTGCAGGCTTTGGGACCCTCACCCTACAATTGCTTCAGCTGCAAGAGGCGCTAAAACTTTCTCAAACTGTTCACCTGTGAGTGGGACTGGCTGTGATGTGTGGATTTTTTTCTGAGTTTCACTAAGGAAAGAGAGCAGCAAACAGAAACCTCAGCACCACTAAAACTACAGCAAAAGTGTAGGTTTCTTCCTGGAAGTGTTGGTTTCATCCACTGGATTTGCTTCCCTGCTCTGAGGTGACATTGCTGACCCACTCAGGCCCTGGGTCCTGCAAGTAGGAAAAGGTTGCTCAACCCAAGAGTGTGGGGGTGATGCCCAGAGAAGCTGTGCATCCCAAGGCCAGGTTGGACAGGGCTTGGAGCACCCTGGGATAGTGGAAGGTGTGCCTGCCCATGGCAGGGGCTGGCATGGGAAGAGCTTTAAAATTCAATCCAACCCAAACAAGCCTGTGAATCTATCTAATTTGATTTCCCTGGTTCCTGGATGGTGGATCAGGCTTATCCATGGAGGAGTCCTTGTGTAACTGAACCCGGACACTGTTTTTGGTGCTAAGCAGCATCTGGGAAATGCAGGTTGCTGGCTGCTGACTGGAACCTGACTGATTCCCCCTCAGGTTTTTTTTTTTTTACACTGTGGAGACACACTAGCTTTAGAGGAAAACCAACCCATAAATCCAATTGTATGAGTTGGAAAGGAATAGAAATTTTTGTGAGAGCAAGAAGCAAATCATAGAACACAGATCATTTCCAGGGCTGCTGTTTCCTAAGCCATGAATAGAAACCTTGGGAAGATGGAGAGGGTTTTAAAGCAGGATCTGTGCTCTTAGTCCCTGTGCTGGTGAGGAAAAGGTGTTTATTCAGTCACACTTTGTCTTTACTTGAGTAGCTAGCTACTTAAACCTGCAGTTAATTTAATGTTTTCAGTTGACCAGTTGTTCAAATAAGTACTGGGAGGCTTAGGTTAGAAAAAAACAGGGAGACCTTTGAGAGGTGGCTGTAGCTTAAATTCCTGTGATTTGGTTTAATCAAATCACCATACTTTTGTTTTTCTGAGCAGGCCAAAATTGCAGCTTTGCATTAACTTTGTCTAAGGAGGAGATTGTCACCAGAGTGTCCCAGAGCACACAGTTTGAGTTGGTTTGCAATGTCACCATGCCAGCCTTCAGGCACTTCTTAGAGCCACGATATTGGCTCTGATTCCTGCAAGCCTTGTGTTAAATTTCCAGACAGGAGTTGGAGGAGCTGGAAACTTGGGATTTCTCTGCCTGTTCATGAAGGTGTAACTGCTGCTGAGACACATCCCCATGCAAAGTGCAGGCCAAGAGGAAATCAGCCTGAGGCAGCTTAGTCCAGGTGTAAATGCAGTTTGTGCTCCCCCAGGCCAAGCCCTGTGGTCTCATGTTCTCCCACAACCTCTGTGATGATCCTCATACAATTGAGGATTGGATTCCCAGCTGGATAAGGTAAGTAGGGCCGTTCTGCACAACTTGAGGAGTTGGAAACTTGGGATTTCTCTGCCTGTTCATGAAGGTGTAACTGCTGCTGAGACACATCCCCATGCAAAGTGCAGGCCAAGAGGAAATCAGCCTGAGGCAGCTTAGTCCAGGTGTAAATGCAGTTTGTGCTCCCCCAGGCCAAGCCCTGTGGTCTCATGTTCTCCCACAACCTCTGTGATGATCCTCATACAATTGAGGATTGGATTCCCAGCTGGATAAGGTAAGTAGGGCCGTTCTGCACAAGCCTGAGCTCCTTCAGCTCACAGCAGCTCCTCCATGGGACCACATCAGATCCAGCAGAGAGGAGCTCTTACCTGGAATGAGACCACCATGCCCCATTCCCCTGCCTGTGGCAAACTATGGGAGTGGTGTAACAAAATGGCCTGTGGATCCCTGGAAGAATCTGCAACTTGAATCTCTTCTCTCTCTCCCTCTCCCAATAATCCTTTTTCTTTTCTTACCTGTTGAGCAATGGGTTCAATAGGCTTTGGGGAACTATTTATTCTTCCCATGGGATTATGTTTCTGAACAGTAATGACCAACCCAGGGCTTTACAGGTGTGTGTGAACAGGCAGATTCCATCACCCCCTATGACTCACTTTGCTCTTGTTTACACTCACTGCTGGGCACTGTTCAAAGTGAAACAGGAGAAATTCCTCTGCAGTCTGCAGAAAATGGAGCTAGAAAAGAGACTGAAGAAAGGATAATTACAGAAGATTTTTCCAGGTGTGGAACTTGTGATTTTCACCTAACTGGAGCGTAAAGACAGGCGCTGGCAGGGATAAAATGAGGGCAGGATGTCTCTACCCTTGTAGCAAAGTTACGAACTCTTTGCAGCTCTGAGATCTTCAGGATATAAAAGTAAAGACTTATATTGTGGAACCAGCAAGACTTTGCCTCTTAAATCTCAAGCTGGTGTCCCTCTTGTCAGCCTAACGAGACAGAACACCTTAGACATAACTTTATCCTAATATTCTAGTTAATAATATTATTCTTTGCCTTGTTTATCAAGTTTAGAGGTCTCTCCATCAGCCTGTCAAAGAGCATTAAAAAACTCTGAAAAAGGAAAGAAAAATCCCACCCCTCCAGCTCAAAGACATTGTGCAGAGATACTGCATGACCACAATTCAGAAGCGAGGGAGCAATTACCTAGGAAAGAGATTTGTTTCCTGCTTTGTGCCTGGAAAGAAATGTCCAGTGTTACCATTTTAGAGATTGCATGTTGGCTATCAAAATAGATTTAGATTTCTAGATTAGCTTTAAGACCCTGCAGAACAATTCTGGTAAAAGCAAATGTCAAGGTATGAGAATTAGATATCTGAGTTCTCCGTCTGAGTGTCCTTCCCCAAATCCACGACTGTAAGATTATTTCTTGCCATCTCAACGCGACATTGGGATTTCAGCCCCACAAACAGGAGTAACCTTTCACAGACAGCCGGTTGGGAAATAACTTGCCATGAAAATACAACTGAAGTGAATCAACTGATGCTATTGAGCCTGGAGTTAAAATCAAAAGATGACTCTTGGGTTTTTGATGAGATATAGGGAATAGATGTCAAATGCCATTAAAATGAAATCAAAAATGGATCTGGTTGGTGTTGAGACACATTCACTAAGGGCAGTAATTTCCATCTGGCAGAAGAAATCCCTTCTTTGTTTGGTTTGTAACAAAACCTTCATTAATTCAAATAAGTCTCTATCAAGGTTATTTGATTTCAGCCTATGGAAACAACTACACAAACTCGTTGGATTATATCATTACCAGAAAAATTTAAAAAATAATAAACAATATTGATAAACTTCCTGAAACAACATAATGACTTTTCATTGTGAAATGTACAATTTTAGGCAAAGGAACATTACCTTAGGCAGCGGTTTCTTCTTAGCACAGTTGATCCCCCCCACAAAGACCATGTTGGGCATCACTGGCCTGACGTACTCGAACACAAAGTCAAACCTCAGGATCCAAATGGCAGCGGAGTTCACGAGGTCCATCAGGGACACATCCCTCTGAAGAACTTCTGAGGAAAGCTTAAGCGCTTCTTCATAGAAACCGTTGCAGTAATCAAGCTCCAGGAGGGAAATCAGGGCATTTTCCACCCTCTGGAAAAATGTCATGTGGTCTGAGTTGAAGCTGAAGAGTCTTGGGATGTAGGATGGAGGGCTTGGGCACTGTGGGACTGAAAAGTGTAGGTTGCAACCAAATCCCCTCATGAAGAACACAAAGGGAAGAGAGAGATGGTGGGCGAGGATGGGCCCACACATAAAGGCTGGATCCGTCAGGATGGCATCAAATCTGATTGCAGTAATCAAGCTCCAGGAGGGAAATCAGGGTGTTTTCCACCCTCTGGGAAAATGTCATGTGGTCTGAGTTGAAGCTGAAGACTCTTGGGATGTAGGACAGAGGGCTTGGGCACTGTGGGGCTGCAAAATGGAGGTTGCAACCAAATCCCCTCATGAAGAACACAAAGGGAAGAGAGAGATGGTGGGCGAGGATGGGCCCACACATGAAGATAGGATCTGTCAGGACGGCATCAAATCTGCTCTCATTGAGGAACTTCAGGGTCTCCTGGCTGCGGAACAGGTCCTTGCACTGCCCAAAAAATGTGTTGAAAGCATGCACTGAGGCGTTGTACATTGCCAGGGCATTGAAGGGGAAAGGCTTCTGCGTCAGGGGCACGGCAAGGCATTCCTGGAAGGCATTATCCAGCTCTTCCAGGGTCTGGCTCACTGGGTGCGTGACCACCTTGTAGGCCTGCTTGGTCTCCATCTGCCAGCTCACCTCGGGAACCAGCACCACCACCTCGTGTCCCCTCTCGCTCAGCTTCGCCACCGCTTCCTGCATGCTCAGCCAGTGGCTTCCCACCATGGGCACCACCAGGAGCTTCCCTCCATCCGAGAGGCTGGGCAGGAGGAGGAGGATGGAAATCCAGGCACAGCAAAGCCTCACAGCCATGTTACTGTGGTCTGAGTAGGGGCCGTGGAAGAGATTTCTCCTGCAGGTTGTAGCCTGACAATGCTTTGGAAAGCAACCGATGGGTGGATTTCTTGCGCTCTGCTCTTTGATAATCCTGTTGTTAATGATTCACTGCCTTGGATTGTGGGTAGTTTATTTTGCCTTTTCCCTCCTTACTTGGAAAGCCAAGATTTGGTGACGTTTTCAATGCTGAGTCACTGGAGTTCCTCGATGCTCCAGTAGCTCCTCACCGTGCTACTCAGATCCCTCACTACTCCTCATCTTTGCTGTGTCTTGTGTTCCACCTTGGCCAGGACCCGGGGGGGCAGCCTTGGTGTGAGCAGCTCCCAAGCCCACAGCAAGAAAATGAAAACAACTTCTCTGACTTGGAGACACAGATCCTCAGGTGATTCCTCCAGGGATGGAGCAGGAGACACTCAGGACAAGGCTCAGGGCTCTTCTGAGCTGGCAGGAATCTCCTCAGTGCCAGGGACACCACAAAGAGGTGCAGAGAGGGGCTGACCTCTCTCTGTATAGCCCAAGCTGTCACTTTACAGAGTTGTTTCCCATCCTGGGGGGTGGGCCCTGGGTAGCTGAAAACTCGTCCCCACCTGGATTCAGATCAGCACTAAATGAGTTTTAGCAACCACTGGAGGCTCAGGTTTCAGACCTGACTCAGCAAAGGAGCAGGTTCAGCACAGATGTGATCTCCCCAGCCTCACAGCACTGCCACTGATGGCAAAATTCGAAATATTTCACCCCAGGATATTTAGAGCCGTGCAGGCTCCATCCCTCAGGCACACAAATTCTCTCCTCTCCCTTCATACCATGGTCAATGCATCACAATGAACTGCAGGGCCTCAAGTTGTGCCAGGAGAGGATCAGAGTGGGTATTTGTGGTAGTCTGGTTTTTTTACAGTTTGTTCTTCTGTAGTATGTTTTAAATATTCCTTGTGATAAGTTTGTAATGTTCATTCCATGTTCCCCATTTGGTTTCCCTGGTGATTCAGTCCTGAATTTTTTACCCCAAGATTTTCCCACCAAGTGTATGTCAATCCCCCTGTCTATCAAAGAGAGCACACCCTTTTTGTTCTGGAATGTTCCCTGTCCTTCATCCCTTCCTCGAAGCAAGATTGGATTGCAATGCTCCTTCCTCTTGTTGGCTTCTATTGGATAGCCCTTATCCTGTCCTCCTTCCCTAATGCCTTCTGTTGGTAAAAGGTTGTGTCCTCTCCTTATTCCCTCCCTTTCGTAAAAGTAGTTTTTTGCCCTCAGTTATTGTCACTTGTCCCTGACTCCTCTGGGGAAATAAACCTACCTTGGAACTCAAACAAGTGATTCCTCTGGATTCCTTAGCCTCGGTCCCTCGTATTGGGTTGCAGCTGTGTGACCCGCGCCACAGCCGTCTGCCGCAGGGAGCTGCGAGCTCCTGTACGCAGCGCCACCCGGGAAGGTCTCCATAGAGATCCGGGGGCAGCCTCTCTCGGGACTGCCCACCAGTTTCAGGGAATGAGCTGGCCGGAGAAAATATTCCCTGTGACCACAGCCCGCAGTTACAGATATTAGGGGGAAAAAAAGTCACTGGAAGAATGGTTAAGCATTGGAATAATTTGCCCAGAGAGGCGGTGGAGTTGCCATCTCTGAAGCGTCCAGGAGGAGCCTGGATGTGGCACCTGGGGACGTGGTTTAGGGGTGACGATGGCAGTGCTGGCGTGAGGCTGGGACTGAGTAATCCTGGAGGTGTTTTCCAAGGTGGATGATTCTGTCAGGTGCAGGCTGGGCCATCCCAGGCTCAGGAATGATTAGGAAATGCTCAGGAGGGAATTATTAGGGTAGCTACAGCACACCGGCCAAGGCTGGAGTAAATCCATGACTGGAGATCCCAAACTACCTCTTCTAAATCCATGAAAAGTGATCCCCAAGCCCCTCTAATAAATCCATGTCAGGAGATGTCCAATCCCTCTAATAAATCCAGTCAGAGATGCCAAAACTGCTATAATAAATTTATGAAAGGAGACCCCAAATCCCTCTAACAAATTCATGGCAATAGATCCCCAAGCCCCTCTAATGAACCCATGAACGTTGATCCCCAAAATCCTTTAATAAATCCATGTTTGGAGATCCCATAATCCTTTATTAAACTCATGGCAGGAGATCCCAAACCCACCAAGTATATCCATGAAAATTGAGCCCCAAACCCTTCTAACAAATTCAGAAAGAGATCACCAAACCCCTCTAATAAATGCATGAAAAGAAAGCCCCAAACCTCTCTAATAAATCCATGAGATTTAAGGAGATCCCAAAACCTTTCCAATAAAACCATGGCAGGATGTCTCAAATCCCTGTAATAATTCCACGACAGAAAACAGCTGTCTGAAAGAGGGAGCTGGTGTTTGTAGAATGCAAGGATGGTTTGTGTTGGAAGGGACCTTAAAGCTCATCCCGTTCCTCCCCGTGGAACGGAGACAGAGACACCTTCCACTATCCCAGCTTGCTCCAAGCCCTCATCGAATGTGTCCTGGAACCCTTCCAGGGATGGTGGTCCCACAGATGGCCACGACTCCCCCTACCCTCACGCCGGTGGAACTACAGCTCCCGCCATGCCCCGCGCCCCGCCGCCCTCCCCGCGGGCCGCCGGTCCCGGCGTGCTTTGCGCTGCGCCACACAACAAGTATGGCGGCGGCCGCCGGCCCGTGGCCGTAGGGCCGGGCTGGGCACGGTGAGTAGGGGGCCCTGAGGGGCAGGGGTTCGCCGGCCCGGGGGAGGCTGCTGGGCTCCTGGGGCTCCTGGCATGGGTGTGTTATAGGGGTTTGGAGTCCCCTGGCATGGGTTTATTAGAGGGTGTTGGGAACTCCTGTCACGGATTTATTAGAGGGTTTTGCATTCCCTAACGTGGGTTTATTAGAGGGATTTGGGGTCTCCTGTCATGGATTTGGCATCCTGTGCCATGGGTTTATTAGAGGGGTTTGGGTTTTCCTGTCTTGGGTTTATTAGAGAGTTTTGGGAACTCCTGGCATGCGTTTATTGGGAGGGTTTAGGATCTCCTGCCATGGGTTTATTGAAAGGGTTTGGGATCTCATGTCATGGATTTATTAGAGGGGTTTGGGATCTCATGCCATGGGTGTGGTAGAGGAGTTTGGGATCTCCTGCCTTGGGTTTATTAGAATGTTTTGGGAACTCCTGGCATGGGTTTATTGAAAGGGTTTGGGATCTCATGTCATGGATTTATTAGAGGGGTTTGGGATCTCATGCCATGGGTGTGGTAGAGGAGTTTGGGATCTCCTGCCTTGGGTTTATTAGAATGTTTTGGGAACTCCTGGCATGGGTTTATTGAAAGGGTTTGGGATCTCATGTCATGGATTTATTAGAGGGGTTTGGGATCTCATGCCATGGGTGTGGTAGAGGAGTTTGGGATCTCCTGCCTTGGGTTTATTAGAATGTTTTGGGAACTCCTGGCATGGGTTTATTGAAAGGGTTTGGGAACTCCTGCCATGGGTTTATAAGGGGGATTTGGGATCTCCTCTCAGATTTATTAGAGAGGTTTGGGATCTCTTGCCATGGGTTTGGTAGAGGAGTTTGGGATCTCTTGCCATGGCTTTATTGAAAGGGTTTGGGGTCTCCTGTCACGGATTTATTAGAGGGGTTTGGCATCTCCTGCTATAGGTTTATTAGAGGGGTTTGGGAATCTCATGGGTTTATTACAGGGGTTTGTGGACCTCCTGTCATGGAAGTATTAGAGAATTTTGGGAATCCTGTCATGCGTTTATTAGAGAGGTTTTGGGATCCCTTGCCATGGATTTATTCCAGGATTTTGGTTTCTCCTGCCATGGATTCGTTGCAGCCTGAGGTCCTGTGCTCTGAGCTGTCCCTGGGCCATCCAGAATCCCTTCCAGCTGCTGTTCCTGGGTGGTTTTTAAGGGAAGGAGGATCCAGAAATAAGGAGCGAGGGAGGATTTGGCACTCGAGTGCCTCTCCAGAGTGGTAGGTAGGTGGGTGGGTGGTGTCTCCTGGATATGGCCCTTTTTTGGGACAAACCATCCACTCAGGAGCTGCTGGGAGGAGATGCAGGGAGGAGAAGAATCTGAAGTGCAGCAGACCTGACTGGAAAGGGGAAGGAAGGCTGGGAGACAGCTTGGGTTGTGTGCCAAGCCCAGGAATTCCATGCAACAGCTTGGGAGGAGGGGACTTCACAGAGATTTTAAGGCAGTCAGGAGCTGCATTCAGAGGAGGAGAAGCTGATGCAAGGTGGTTTAGTTCCTATTTATGTTCATTAGGAAAGTGAAACTTCAAAATCTTTCAGCTTTAATGTCTCAGATGAAAGAGTGCCAGGGGTTTGGAGGAGGTGGAAAAGGATAATCCAAGGTAGGGGGTAGTTCACTTGCAGGAATAAATAACAGCTTTGTGCAAAATGGAATTGTGGTGGGTTGGATCCTGGTGAAAGGGCTGCATAGACCTGTGGCAACAGAAATGCTTTTAATTCACCCTTTTTTTGTTAAATTAATTTACACTTTTACATGGGCTTATTTTTAGAATGACCAGAATAAGATGGAAGAAAATCTAAACAAATTCTTTAGTCAGGGCTTCCAGGTTTATTTTGGACGATTTGAGGTGGCTGGGTTCAACTGCATTTTTTATAGTAGATATTTATTGTATCTTTTTAAAGGGCTCTTCTGCCTTCACAATGTTTGGGGACTTATTTGAAGAGGATTTCTCCTTTATTTCCAACAATCACTATGGGAAAGGGAAGAAATCAAAGCCCAGAGAGTCTGAGCCTCCAGCTCCCAGGGATTTCACCAACCTCAGTGGAATCAAAAATCAGGGTGGGACCTGCTACCTCAATTCCCTTCTGCAGACTCTGCTTTTTACACCTGAATTTAGAGGTAAGGTGCTCAAAACCTTCTTAAAATAATGTAGGGATTGATATTTTAGTGAGACTTGCACTTCTGGTTATTTATTTAAGAAACACAGTGAACTCAGGTGATTTTGGGGCACAGTTCACT